ATAAAGACATTGTCACCTCACTGAACATTGTACACTGTGTAAAGACACTGTCATCATAATGGATATTTTCAAAATAGGTAAAGGTACTGTCATCACAATGAGCATTCTACACAATGGATAAAGACATTGTCACCTCACTGAACATTGTACACTGTGTAAAGACACTGTCATCATAATGGATATTTTCAAAATAGGTAAAGGTACTGTCATCACAATGAGCATTCTACACAATGGATAAAGACATTGTCACCTCACTGAACATTGTACACTGTGTAAAGACACTGTCATCATAATGGATATTTTCAAAATAGGTAAAGGTACTGTCATCACAATGAACATTCTACACAATGGATAAAGACATTGCCACCTCACTGAACATTGTACACTGTGTAAAGACACTGTCATCATAATGGATATTTTCAAAATAGGTAAAGGTACTGTCATCACAATGAACATTCTACACAATGGATAAAGACATTGTCACCTCACTGGACATTTTGCATTGTTCTTGGAAGTTTTTGAGATTTATATGAGGGGTCAAATGTTAGAGGTTTTATTAAGCAAGAGTCGTGTAGTGGCATATAGGAACACAATCGTTTAAACTGAATCAGAAGGTTTTGACGAAACCACAGCAATCAACAGTTATCAAAAGGGTCCATTTGAGTGGGATTCACTGAAAATGACAACGCGAAGTCTCAAAATGCAGGCGTTTCTCTTTGCATTCAAGTTGAGAGGGCGTGGGAAGCTTTAAGACAAAGAAAAGCTTGCGTCATTAAGTTTGGCAAAGTCGATATTCAAGAGTCTACGTTAACGCCTTCACGATAGCTCTATTCCGAACTGTGTCATCTAGCCATGTAGTAAGTACAACATCGCGCCCACCTGCATCACGACGTATTCAACGAAAAACAAGTACAAGTTTATTTCCACGAGGTTATAGTTTTTCCAACAGAACCTACATTCTTGTTCCGAATTACAAAATAACTCTTTCAGTACAAGAGCAGAAATGAATTTGAATTACAAGGGATAACTTCACCAAAGAACGCAACGCTCGTGCTTATATCCAAGCGTAAATATTATACTGCCTTCATTTGAACAGCATTTACATTTGTACGTCTTTTATTTTGTTAGTTTGAAGGGCATTCGAATTTTTTTTTCTTTTCGGCTTTCTGTGGAATTAGAAAATATATGAAGAAATATTTCTAAAAATACTCATCCTATCCGATTCATCTTATTTGCAACTTCTTCTTCACTAAGTTAGGTTTATTAGTCAGATGAAAGTTAAAACCTCTTTCTTATCTCTCTCTACCTGCCTTGATTTCTGGTACTTCCTGTACTAAATTTCACTGGGGGAAACCTGCTGAACAGTCTTTACTTAGATATATATATATATATATTCGTGCACTTCTGCAAAGTCAGAATCATAACGTTTCATGGATGTTTACAGTTGTTCCCTTGATAACCGTGGTTACCATAGTTACAGCCCAAAGGCTCAGTATGGCAACGGCTTAAGACTTGATATCAGTCTGAATGAGACAACTTATCTAAGGTACCACCATGGAAACTTCGAATACAACTTTCAATGCGTTTTTATTTTAATTTTCAAAGCTATTACCGCTGCCGTCAGGGAGCGCCAAGGCCTATTTTGTGACACTAGATGAGAAACATATTATTTGTAAATATAGCATTTTTTGCCCTTCTTTTCAAATAAACAAAACATGCTTTATTGGGATATGTGTATTTTAAAATATACGTTAGAGCGAAATTAAGACGTTATACATTTGTTATATTTCCTTGACAATATTCAAAGTACTGCGTTAGTTTGTCTAAATGTTGAATGTTTTCCCGATACGTTAATTACTTAAGATCAGTTCTCACCTGGTTAGATTTACGATAAAAATAAATCTCTTTACGATATTCATATTCTACGTGGTGAGACAGATATCGGTCTATAAATCATCCAGTACAGATGTATCTTAACTCCATACATGTTTAGCATAGTGAGACAGATATCGGTCATAAATATGCTTGTATCACATTTATCTTAACAACATAGACGTTGAATGTAGTGAGACAGATATCGGTGTGTAAGTAAAACACTATCAGACGTATATTAACAACATACACGTTAAATGTTGTGAGACACATATCGGTGTGTAAATAAGCGAGTATCAGATGTATTTTAACAACATATATGTTGAATGTAGTGAGACAGATATCTGTGTGTAAGTAAAACACTATCAGACGTATATTAACAACATACACGTTAAATGTTGTGAGACACATATCGGTGTGTAAATAAGCCAGTATCAGACGTATCAGCACAATATGCATGTTGAACGTAGCGAAACAAACAACGCTTTCTGTAAATAAATCAGTAACAAAATATTTCTTGACAATTTTCATGTGGAG